ATCCCAGGTGGAAGGTCGCCGGTAGCAGCACGGAAGGCCTCGAACATGCCGTGGAAGTTATCCACAGAAACGTCTCCGGAGGCAAAGAATCGGCCGCCATTGACTTCGCAGCAATCCAATTCCCTACCCTCCACCCCATACCAACATGCGCGAAAGATCTCTTTCCACTCCAGGTCACCTTCGCCCCCGCAAGGAAACACCTCCCCTCGCTCCACCCACTCCGAGTCTACGCATCTTCCCCCCTCGCTGCGAAAACAGTTCTCGGGCTGCAAATATGAAACCGCCATGGCTTTCTTCCGTCGAAGAATGCCGTATTCATTAGGTGCCGACCTGCTGCCGGAGGAAAAGGATGGTCTCAAGGAGCGGTTGGAGCCGGAGGAGGAGAAGAGACTCAGCGCCGATATGCTGGAGGTATACGATCAGCTCCTGCCGTCAGCAGAAAGCGACGACCGGCGACGGCAATTAGTCCGCAAGTTGGAGAAGCTCTTCAATGATCAGTGGCCAGGCTGCAATATCAAGGTTCACGTTTTCGGCTCGTCTGGGAATAAGCTGTGTTCAAGTGACTCGGACGGTATGTTTCGGTAACGCGGCTTACTTTATGTGTGTGTTCTAACGATGATTCAGTGGACATCTGTATAACTACCACTTATAAGGAGCTTGAGCACGTATGCCTCTTGGCAGAGGTACTAGCCAGGCGTAAGCGAACCACCATTTGCCTTCCTTGTGTACGCAGTCGCTGACAATGATTTGGGGTACAGATGGTATGGAACGAGTCGTTTGCGTATCGCACGCCAAAGTACCTATCGTGAAGATCTGGGATCCGGAGCTGCGATTAGCATGCGACATGAACGTCAATAATACTATGGCACTGGAGAATACGCGGATGGTCCGGACGTATGTGGAACTTGACGAACGCGTGCGACCCTTGGCTATGATAATCAAGCACTGGACGAAACGGAGGATCCTCAACGATGCCGGTATGTGTCGAGTCGTCGATTTGGGACAGACAACTGGAGCGAGTTTTCGACTGACTGTCCGCACACAGGCCTTGGAGGCACACTAAGCTCCTACACGTGGATTTGCCTGATAATCAATTTCCTACAAACGCGAGACCCGCCTGTTTTGCCGAGCCTTCAAGCTCGGCCGCATAAGAAGAAATTGACCGCGGACGGCATAGTTTGTTCTTTTGATGATGACCTCGATTCCCTAGTCGGCTATGGGCGAAAAAACAAGCAGAGCCTCGGAGAGCTTCTCTTTCAGTTCTTCAAATACTATGGTCATGAACTCGATTACGAACGGCATGTGATATCTGTCCGTGAGGGGAAGCTCTTGTCGAAAGAGGCGAAAGGCTGGCATCTGCTACAAAACAACCGTTTATGTGTGGAAGAGCCTTTTAATACTTCACGGAATTTGGGAAACACAGCGGACGACACTTCGTTTCGAGGAGTCCATATGGAGCTGCGCCGGGCATTCCAAGCCGTTTCCGAAGGGAACCTGGAGCACTGCTGCGAACAATACGAATATCCACCGGAGGAAGAACGCTCATGGGAGAGACCACCGCCCCAACCGCGTCCTGTGCTCACTGCAGCACCGCCACCGTCCCGCGGAGGTCGCGGCGGAGGTCGTGGCGGACGACATTCGAATCAGTTCTCCCGAGGCGGGCACTCCGGTGGTCGTAGGGCTTCCAACACACCGAATAAATCCGGTAACTTTCGTCAACCCAACGGTATGACCGCCTCTGAGCTTTCCTTGCAAGCACAGCACGCACAGTACCTCTTGCATGACCATCTCTATCAGCAAATACAGATCCTTCAGGCCCAAGAGCAAGAATTGCGGCTACAGCTGCAGAACCAGGCGCTCCTCACTGGGAGGCCGCCGCCGGTTCTCATCCGCCAACCGTTTATTCAGTTCCCAATGCCTCAGCAACAAGAATCCTCTGGCGACGACGACTCTCGATCAAGGTCGGGCACCGTGAACCATCCGCCTCTCAGCACACCGCACCGCCAGAACGTGTATTACAACAGTCACTACCTCCCTGTGGGAGTTCCTGGCGTGCAGGGGAGCAACACAAATCCGCCGTCGCCTTCAGCCACTGCTGCCATGCCGGACCTTCGGCGTAGTCCGCGTCGATCCTCTGTTGCGAACGGATCTCCGGGTGGGTCACTCCGGGCACACTCACAGCCGGCGCGAACAGTCAATTCCCTTCCGAGCTTTGCGCCGCTGTATTCGATATCTCAAATGGCGGACAGCTCGCCGGGGTCGAAGGCGCGCAATGCTCCAGGCTCACCTGACGGTACACAGGGCGATGAGAACAATACCTTTATGCCGAGCAGCCTTCCCAACGTGTCTCGTTCCACCTATTTCGATGAATGCCGACCGAATGAATATATGGGATATTACCTTGCAACTTCCCCGCAGCTACAGACGTATCATCAAAACGCTTTACTATCGCCGCTGTCTCCGGTAGGACTGGCACTGCAAAATGGCGGCGTCGTGCCATTTGTTGCAAACCCTCAGGATTATATGACGTCAATTCCGGCAAGTGAAGCGACCGGTCAAGCCTCAGATAACAGCTCTGCATTGCCAACGAAACCAGGGTCGACGACGCAGCGTGCAACTTCGCGACCAGCTGCATCTGGCGATCGGAGCGGACCCTTGATCGTGGACGGGTCCGTACCCCCTAGTGAACAGCGTCTCTCAGTATCGGCGGAAAGCTATGATCCGTACACGGCTATGAGCCACTGTACGTCGAATTCAGAGGACCTGAATATGGATACGCCAGCGAGCGTCTCAGACTCTGTGTCTCATGAATACCAGGACAACAGCTCGGTCGATATTGACCAGCCGCCCTACTTTGGTCGCCAGGGGGTTGACATTTACCAAACAGGGAAAGCAGCTGATTCCTTTGTTAATGGACACGGTGCAAAGCAGAGTCTGCTCTCGAGCCGGTTGCAAAGCCTTCATCTCGCAAACTCCGAAAAGACCTCCGAACCTCAGCTGAAGCATAATACCGAGAAGATGAAAGTGCCGCAATCGAATCACGAAGCAGCGGATAGAGACAATCATCGCTCGAAACAGGTAAATTCAGGGGAAAAGCCACTGACCACAGGGCCATCGCCAGCGGCGGACTCACACTTTCCTTCCAGTGGGAAACGGCGGTCTAATGGCGTGGATGCGTCTGAACGGACCAACGGGGTTTCACACAAAACGAAATCGAAGAATCACAATCAGCCTTCTGGACCAGCTGACAGCGAGAAACGTCATCCCATGACTCAATCGCGAAAGTCTAACGGGGTCAGTTCGACGCCAGACTCCGCTGTCGCTCATGCCGGTGGTGGTTGGCAGACGACCAAAAGGAAGCCGAAGAAGAATGCCAGACATTCAACAGAACACAGGCATGGCTTGCATAGTGGTGCGGAGCCCCTCCCAGCAGATGAGTCATTGAGAAAGGGGGGTTGAAAACATTAGATAATGTGTCATCGTGAGCATTATCTGTTGTCCGTGTTGCGTTGCCTCCAGCAGTCTTATTCAGCACAGGCCGCACGCGCGATACCTCCGGCCAAGCTGAGCCATTGTTGTGCTTGGTTGGGGAACACATACCGGGTTGGTCTGTTGACTGAACCAGCATCGGGTAGAGAGCTCCCTGGCGGCCATATAGCCTGTTACATGCATGGCTATTGTACTGCCTGTGCTACGGTTTTACAAGTGCGTTTATTTTTGGGGGGAGTGCTTGAGTATACTATCGAACCCTTCGTTCAAGTGGAGGGACGTTCCATGGTACTGTATAAATGAGGCGGCGTCCTCTTCTTGCAAATGACATGATTTCGGTTGCACTTGTTTTCTTGCTACATGTTATGGAAGTACATGACACTTTTCATCCGTCCTTTTTTTTTTCTCTTTTCATGTTCAATATTGGCGTTTTGCAAGGTTAAATAACGGAAAATTGGCAAGTCAGGGGGGTTTGGCTGGTTACCATGGGTTACTTGTGAGAATTGCATATGATATATGTTGCCCCGTCCTCTATGTCGTGGTTCATCTTATACGTTGTGGTTTTGTTTTGATGTGGTTTGGAGTTTACATTCGACTCCTTTGGGTTGTGATTGAGGGCTTCCCCCAGGCTGTTGGGTCCATACGACTTTGCATACCGGCTGTATCATCTCTTCCCCTTGCTCCCTGCAGTGGTGCTGCATAGAGGGCAGCGAAACGCAAAAAAAAAAAATTACGCAGACCAAATGAAATATCCCCGCGGAAGCCATTGAGCTCCAAGGGGGAAGATAAAAAAGAAAGTGTCGGCTGATCTGAAAGACACCAAAATTGAAGCGGAATGGCATATGGCCTAGATGGCCCCGTTCTTCTTCCTTCATCTGGGCCGAATTGGTCTCCTCGCCGTTTTTGTTTCTTCATCATATTGTTTTGTTTTGTTTTCTTTTCATCCGCTTTTGAAGATTATAGTCCATCGGCATGACCGTCATCATCATCACCATCATCATCATCATCATCATCATCATCATCATCATCATCATTATTATCATCGTCATCATCATCATTATTATCATTGTCTTTGTCATTGTCATTGTCAATATACCATCATAGCAGGGAGCCGGGCGAGCGGGTTCATATGGTTTGACTTTCACAGTTTTCTTGTTTGCGTGCGTGTGTGTCGATTAGTTGACAGAGATGCTGCTTCCGTTTTTATTCCTTCTTCTTGTTCTTTCATTGCCTATGTTCATATTCATCCACATCGGTCATGGGGTTTGGGCAGTTGGGTTGGGAAGGGGGAGAGGTGCAAATGTAGACGTTGGAATTTACATATACCATGTGATTTCTACCATCAGGTCTTCTTCTTTCCCTGTAGAACCATGTTGTGGTTACCATTGTAACATTGAACAATATGCTAACTACGTTATTCCTTCAACCCCCATACAACAGAAAATTTCATCCTGAATCACCCTCCGGTGTGACATCCTGCAGATTATGCGTCCGGGCCTTTTGCCATTTTTCGGAAAGAAGATGATCGATCAATTCTATCGTATATACAGAATCTAGAAGATACAGGTAGTAGTTTTGGAGCAAGAAGACAAGAAATAAGTTTCTAATAATACATGTAGGATCAGAAGCAAGAAAGGGAGGTATTAAAAGGTGACACAGAGAATATATGACAAGAGAAAAATGATCAGATCTGGTGTGATAAATACATGTGGACGGGATTGGTGGTCATGGCTTCTTCGGCACTTGCAACTCATTGAAATGAATCAACCCGGTGTGGGTTCATTAGGTATAAATAAAGAGGTAGAATGAAGTTAGGGGAAGACATGTAGGGTAAATGAGGATGATGCTGCTGATGATGATGGTGGTAGTAATGGTGACGGCAGCGGCAATTTCCCCTTTAGCAGAATGCCTCTATCAGCATGTAGGGGAAAATCACAACGCAAGCGGTCCAGAAAACCATGATGCATTTCAGGAAGGCCAGAGGCAGCATGTAAAAGGGGTGCTCGGTGATGACGAGCCAGAGAGAGAGAAAGGCGACACTGAAGAAATGCCAGAACAGAACATCGGGCTTTTTAATCAGCCCACCTAGAAGACCTATGGGGCCGCTGGTCATTCCTAGCTCGAAGTAACGGAAGCAGCCTCGTTGAAGAGCACGCAAATTTTCGTCTAGATTGAGGGGTCTGGCGTTAGCTGCTGGGGCCTTGGGTGCAATGGGGGAGAGGATAAACAAACCGTTGGCAGCGAACAGGGCATAGAGAGCCTGCGCTAAGATGTTGATGACTGAGGATGCTTTCTTCCGTTGCCAGTGGAAGGAGGACAGCTGTCGCAGGACTTGCTCATGATTAGCGAGGGTGGGGACTTTCTCCGGACTGAGCAAGTCACGTAGGACCACAACGTCATTGAATGCGACGGTCATTCCTCCACCGGTCAGCGGATGCCGCATGTTGAGCGCATCTCCCAGAATGACCAGACCGGGAGTCTTGTTCGGCGCACTAGGAAGATATGAGTTTGGCATAGAGCGCAGCTGACCCTTGTCCAACGCAGCAACGAATGAAGGCCGAATAGATTCGGGAAGGGACGGAAGAACGACGTTGCGAAGGTGGTTCTTGACACCGCCGTTCTTGACGGAGGCCGATGGGAGGTTCTCAGGGATGTCGATGAGGATGCGGGTTTCGTGGGTGCCAATTTGGTAGACGAGGATAGGGGCATTGTCGCTAAGGAGGACGTGGCCATGGTAAGGCATGGGAAGGTCTGCATCGATCAACTCCAAGCCCCAGAACCTGGACCGGACCTTAGGGGTGTTGGAGTGGTATTGCTTGCGGAATTTCGAGGCGTAGCCATCTGCCACCACCGTCAGATGGCCGAAGTAGCAATCCTTCATGTCGCCGGTCACGCACTCGACACCAAGAACCTGCTTGGTGTGGGAGCAAGTGACCAAGTCGGTGGCCTTGGTCTCTACGACCGTGACGTTGGGACAGGCCAGCGCGGCAGCCCGCAGCTTCATGACGAAGCGGCCATGGTGGAAACAACGCCCTTGCGGGGCGGGCGACGACGGGGAGGGCTTGGGGTAGGCGAACGAGACGGGTTTCCCAAAGTACGACACATAGTAGCCCTTGGCTGGGATGGCGTCAATGTCTTCCAGACAATCGGCAAGACCCAATTTCCCAAGCGCCTCGACACCGCCAGGCTGTAGCAACTCTCCGACGATCCGGTCAGGCTCCTTCATGGACGCCTCCAACAGTAGGACGCTGCGCCCTTGTCTTCCAAGTGCCACCGCCAATGCACATCCCAGTATTCCAGCGCCCACAATCACGACATCGGCATGGTGGTGAATTAGCCTGCGCTGTTTGGCGACATCGGCAGAGGGGGTGGTATGGCCATTGGCGACAACAGCGGCGGCCATTTTTGCGGGAGACGGGGGGGGGGGATTGCGGAGGTGGAAAGTCAAGGGAGGTCAGGATCGAGAGGACAAGGAAGAATGGCGGGATGCAAAGGGCATATTTCGATGGCCGTGAATCGGAGGAGAGAGATGGAGGGTAAATAATGCTGCGAAGAACAAGCAGGCAGCAATGAGGCAGGGATGAGGAAGAAAAAGTGCTGGAAGGAAAGTTGGAGAGTTTGGATTGACACAAGGGGAGTGGCGTGACATGTGAAAAAGGGACAAAAAGGGCGCACGCGGGAGAAAGAGGAAAGAGCAGCTTATGGCCTGATATGATACTTTCTTCCTGTTCACACCCTCCGCTACTAAACTAGTTTCTGATAGTAATCAATCTAGACCATCGAAAAGGACACCCTCTTTATTTTTGACTTTTGGAATGTAATTTGTCTCTAATGTTGGATGTTTCATATTATACCATTTAATGGTCAATGATGATTTAGAGGACTTTGATCTTGATCTTAGTAGGAAGTAGTTCCTTATCTTGGAGGGGGAAAAAAATTAAAATAAAACAATTAAATAAAACAAAATTCTGTAGATCCTCCGACACAAAATATTTTAACTTAAAACTAGCTAGTTAGCCTGAGTGCCATCTGTAGAACAAGATGATTAGTAGTTCTAGCTAGATTGGGAGCCTCCCTTGAGGCCGTTGAAGCGCTTATTAGTCGTATCAATCTCCCGCCGCTTTTCTCCCCCATTTCTGGTGCCGCTTTAAATAAACCATGGACCTTTGGAGGCATACAATATCATGATGTTGCATACCCTTATATTTTAAAAAATAGTCAATCACATGATCCCTTACAAAACTGCGGTAATTTTTATTTAGTTTAGGTGGTCAGCCTCAGGCACTTCAGTTATCGCCGATGCCGATGCCAAGAACCTGACGTCTGAACATCTTTCATATGAAGCCGCGACTTTCCCCCATCATGATTGAACCCGCTACAAACAAAATCTCTCCTTCACCGCGCATCCTACTGTGAGACATGTCTCAATAGTAATCATCTTCTTCAAACCTCCTTGGAAAGTCTACCTTTCGCAAAAGCACATAACAGTTGGACAACCTCCGCCCTCCGCATCGCAGCGCATCCATCGCATCTCATTATCATTCTCATCCAGCCATGAACAACGACCAATTCCGTCGCCTTGTCCTCGACAACCCTTCCTCCAAACCCGCCGCCAAATCCACCAGTCCAGATGCGTCCTCTCCATCCCAACATCAACCGCGCAAAAGCATCGGCAATGCGACCCCCGCAGCTGGCGCTCTGGGCTCGCGCCTCCGCTCCAGCATCCCCATGACACCGTGAGCTGATCCCCCCCCCAAACACCACCTGCACTTATAACCTTACCTTTATTTTACATGGTTGACCTTACTAACAAACCCTCTTTTCGTCGCAGTCGCGCCTTAACAAACGTCGACTTTGCGCGCCAACTAGCCGAATACCGCCGCGAAGCCCAACCCGCTTCCAAGAAGTTCAAATCCTCCGCCGCCCCCAAGGGAACGAGACTACCGTCTGGATATCAAGATCGGGCTGCATTGTTGCGCCAGAAGGAAGAAGCGGAAGAAGGGGGGGATGGTGGCGGCGATGTGTCGGATTTGGAGAAGCGTGTCAAGGCGTTGGAGGAGATGGTCAAATTAGGACAGATTGACCAGGCGACGTTTGAGAAGTTGCGTGCTGAGATGGGAGTGGGTGGTGATTTGAAGAGTACGCATATGGTCAAGGGGCTGGATTGGGAGTTGCTGAGGAGGGTTAAGGGGGGTGAGGATGTTGATGTCTTGGAAAAGGAAGGGGAGAAGGGTGAGGGGAAGGAGAAAGAAGATGTGGCAGATGTGGATGAGGAGCTGGATCGGGTGTTGGGAGAAAAGGGCGAGGGGGTGGATGCATTGACTGCTGCCCCGAAGGAGATTAAGGAGAAGAAGAAGGGCGTCATGGCTCAGAGAAAATCAAGAGACGAGATTCTCAGGGAGTTGAAGGCCAGTCGGGCTGCTGCTGCGGCTGAGGCGGCGAAGCCGGCTGAGCCTGCGTTGGGGACTAAGTTTAAGAGGATCGGGGGAGAGTCTAAGGCGGAGAAGAAGCGTTGGGTGGAGCAGGATGAGAATGGGCGAAGGAAGGAGATTCTACAGATCACGGACGCGGAGGGCAAGACGAAGAGGAAGGTTAGATGGCTAGATAAGCCCGGTGAGGTTGGTGGTGGTGCTGGTGATGGGCCTGCTGGGTTATTGATGCCGGATAAGGATGCGAAGCCGTTAGGCATGGAAGTTCCAGCAGAGGTTGCCACCAAGGCACCCGCGCCGGCGGAGGATGATGACGATGATATTTTTGCTGGCGTCGGAGATGACTATAACCCGCTTGGTGATCTACCAGATGACGACGATTCGTCGGATGAGAGTGAAGATGGCGAGAAGCCAAAGGTCACAGAACCAGCTCCTGCTACCGGTGATACGAAGAAACCGGAGGTGACAACAAGCCGGCCTCGAAATTACTTCTCTACGTCTACAACGGATGAAGTTCCTGAGGTGGACCGGTCGAACCCATTGGCTAAAGATCCTACTCTACTGGCGGCCCTGAAACGAGCTGCTGCGTTACGACAATCCGAGGAGGCTGGTGCTGCCAATGCTGATGCTGAAGATGTCGACGACGAGACGGCGCTTCGACGAAAGAGGTTCCTGGAGGAGGCGCGTCGGCGGGAAGCCCTGGATGCCATGGATATGGACATGGGCTTTGGAGGAAGTCGCAATGACGACGACGAGGAAGACGAGGAAGTGGTACTGGAGACCGAGGGACGCGGCGGGAAGAAGAGGAAACGAGGGCCGAAGAAGAAGAAGGGCGACAAGGACAGTGTGACGGATGTGATGCGTGTGCTGGAGGGGAGGAAAAAGGAGTGATGTTGAGATGAGCAGATTATACACGAGTGATCAGGGGCGATGCCTGGAAAGGAAACCAATCCAGATGCCTGGTAAACACGACTATCACACCTGGACCCTTTTCTGGATCGCTGTTACCCTACAGTGATCGCTGCATCGTACCGGAAACCAGAAAGTAATTCCGTGGGACTCAGTTCCTTCAGGAGCAGCAAGTGATATGCTATCACGAACTTACGTGCAGTAGGTCGCCTTCCACAGGAGCTCATCTGCACAGATCATCTATAACCTACGACCTACACAAACATCAAATACGAAGGCCGAGGTGGTACCTTGAGTATCACCCCATCGATCCCACATCAGAGAATCGTAAATAATACACTGCCCTCTATATCTCCTACCCAGCCTCCGATAGCTGTCCACCGAAATCAACAAACTTTGTATGATGTAAGATCCACCTCAACAAATACCATTCATTCTAGTATGAGACATTTCTTAATTTCCACAATTTCCATACATTCATCAACTCATCCTTCAACTCATATTATACACCCCCAAACCACCAGACCAGACCACCCCAAGAACAACCATGTATGTCCCTTCACGGGTAGCACAGCACACTATCGACATAAACCGGCTCCGACGAGGTATGTTCACCAGGCTGCAGGAGGGTGTTTCGTCCGGTGCAGCCTACTCCACTATAGAAACATGTTCGAGTCAGTATGCACTATGTGCAGTCAAGTACTATCTTGGGTAAAAGGAAAGTCACTTACGTGAAAAGACGACACGTCTTGGAGAGGAACACGCCTCGAACTTCACTGTGACAGGTAATAATAACTTTTGTTAACGAGACTCCTCCTTTCATTCTCTGTTTCTTTCTCATCTCAAGTATAATATATTATAACATCAAATGAAGTCGACATTGGTGAATCATCAACTTACAACTGTCCAACCTGAGTACAGTCATCGAAGGGGATCTGAACCGAATGGCTGCCTTCGTCTGTCTCTAGACCGATCTGTATACAGTAGTCAGTTAAGTGACCTTATCCATTATTCAAAGCATTCATTGTAGGGTTGTAATCAGCTGCGCTAGCTATTCAAAAAAAAAAAAAAAAAAGGGCACGTACAGTCGTACTCAACCTCGCACTCCCAACCCCAGCCAGAAGCAGCGAGCTCAATAGAGTGATGGCTTTGAAAGAATACATGATAGCGATACCTGCTGGAGATGATGATGAAGATATTCGTATCTATCTCACTGATAGGAGTCAACTGATGGTAAAGAGGAAGGCAATTAATCGCATGCAGCAGCAATAGTGCAGAGAACAGCGTAGCGCATATTTAAGAATGTGTCCGTCCTTCCCAAGGGCAAAAATGCCAGGTTTACTTACATAACTTCGCCTTCTTTTCCGCGTACGGCGATTCATCCCTTGCTTGCGGGAAAAGAGGGGAGGCAAATTGCGTTCAATCCCAATCAATCCAGGGGGATGGATGGTTCCTTTCCTTTTGCCCAGCCACGCGATATTTGGATTGCTGGGAGGGGGTACATTAATGCATGCATGCATACATGCAGAGACTATTTAAGGTTTGTGTTGGGTGGGTGGGAGGATGGGTGGTTATATGTGCTTATGGCATTCAGGGATTGGTGCTCGCGTGGTAGTCAGGAACTGGGGGTGGATGTAATGTGCTTTGTATATGGAGAAGAGTTGACTTTTCTCTTTTTTTTATAAGGAAAGATTCCATTAAGAAGGGTTTAGGTGTCCAGGTCCATGTTCATTAACTCTGTTCGGGGTCGCGGGTGCATTACATACACAAGGGGTGGATTTGGAGAAATACAATACATTCCACTTTCCAGCTTGAAGAAAAATCATTCAATTGAAGTACACATAGATAGAGGGTATTATGTTGTGCCATGTGGTAGCATGCGGTTTGTACGCAGGGGGCGCTGATATTGGACTTAGAAGATAGTAGTAGTAATATCTAACTCTTGATCTCAGTGCGTGGTCGCTGGATATCCATGCCTCATTCTACTACTAGTCGCAGTCCAGACTGTCTATCAATTTAATGCAATCTCTGTTGGATGTTTGGGTTGTCTTTATTCTGTAACTTCGTAGGGGAGTGATGCTGGTCTATGAATTGATATATAAATACTATCTGTATGGGTGAGTGT